AGAGGCGAAGAAGAGGAGGAGGAGGAGGAGGAGGAGGAGGAGACCTTCCTCCTAGGAAACCACATACATTCCCAGCCAGAGCAGTGAGCATGAACAACAGGCAGCCCTGCCTGCTTCTCCTGAGGAGGTCACCCTGCAACACAGCAGCACACTGGAGCATCCCACAGGAGAAGGAGAGCTCGCTGTTGGCAGTGCCAGAGCAGCACAGCAGAGCCTAAAACCTGGCCTAAGTGTAAGGCTGGTCTGAGCTGGGGTAGCTGCAGGCAGCAAATGCATCTGCAGCCAGGCAGGTTGTGGCATGTCAGTGCCTTTTTGGGCATGCAGATGCCTGAAAACAGGTAAGTGGCAACCAGTACCTCCATTTCTCCATGGGCCTAGGAAGGGTCTGTATGGCTTCCTTGGGAAAGGGAAAATGGATGAGCTGTCCCCCTCGGCTGCACCAGAGGAGCGAGTGCTGCAGGCTGGGCTGGGCTGGGCCAGAAGAGCCAGTCCAGCTGTCTGCAGGCAGGTCTCAGCACCCCCACTGCCCGTAGGAAGGTGGAAAAATTGGGATAGAGGGAGAGGGCATCTACCACAAAGCCAGTCCTTTGGTGTGCAAAGCACTCAACACTACCTCAGAGCAACTGGGAGCTCAGGAGAGCTCAGCTCCAGTAAATGATGCTCCTCAGCCTCTGCCCGGGCAGTTTACCTCCCTCTCCTCCCATTTTTCCCTTTGCCCAGGATGACTATTTGCCTGCAGCTCTAAGCCCTTCCCTCCCCCCTCTCCCCAGGCTCCATCACCAATAAATCACCCCGCTGAGAGAGAGAGCCAGAGGAAACCAGAGGCACAAAACCTCAAACAGAGCCCTTTCCGCCCCCGCCCTGCTCTCCCAAGCAGCTCTGCATTTCATTAGGCAGCCAGGCCAGCCCTTGCCCAGCTGGGGAGAAGGAGGAGAGGGGAGGGAGGCCCTGCAGGGTTTGCATGTCGGGAGCAGAAATCACAACCAGAGATCCAGGAGAAGGGAGTTGTTTGTGTTTGTCACCGCATCCCAGTGCTTGCCTGGCCTCTGACCCTGCCTCCGGGAAAAGTGCTGACCTGGAATAGCTCTCCCCCATTGAGGTCCCTCCGTGCCAAGGAAGCTCTGGGCACCTTCCAGCCAGCTTCTCTACGCTCCAGTCATCCTCTCACGGTGCCGACCCCTCTCTCTGCCCCCCTCCAGCCTCGCAAAGGCTTGGATACTCCTTGGAAGAAGCCCTGGGAATTTCTGCAAGCCTCAGCCCTGCCAGGAAGCTTCACTGTCTTCCCTCGCTCCCTGGGCTGGAGCACCCTGCCCAGGAAAACATGGAGCCTCTTCCTGCCCGGGAAGAGCAGCAAGGACAAGCCCCTGCTCCCCTGCAGGAATCCCCCCAGCCCTCTGGGGACTGGGGTCCCTCCACTCACCCTAAATATATATTGGCAGAGCATCAGCAGCGAGCACAGTACATTGGAGGCAGATGCAAGTCTCACGGCAGCACGGAGGTTTGGGGCATCCAGGCATGCCTCTCCTCAGCCTTTGGAGCTATCATTTAATCACACTGTACTGTGCCACAGTACTCCTGCACCCCTCCTTACCCAGAAAAAAACCACCTCTATCCTGCAGATTAGCCTTTGACAAAGCATCCCTCCAGGGTTCCCAGGCAGGGAGAAGTTCCAGCAGGCACACAGCCCCCGGGGATGCTCTGGTACCCCCGTGCTGCCCACAGCTCCCCAGGCAGGGAGAGGCCCCAGCAGGCACACAGCCCCGCTGCTGGCCTGCCTCCCACCTCCCTCCCAGCAGCCTGCCAGATTCCTGAGGGCTGACACAGGATGCTGCAGCAATGAGTGTGCAGGGCCTTCCTCCCCTTCCCCTGCCCCAGGAAAGGAGGGATGGGCAGGTGATGTCAGGTTGCATCAGGCCAGGAGGGAGCAAGAGCAGATGGAGTGAAACACCGGAGCCTCCTGCAAGCCCCTCGCTGCCATCACCTCCCAGCCCCACGGGCTTGCCCCAGCCTCTGCTGGCACCTGGCCCGGGCCCAACACCTTTACAGATCGGGATGATTCACACCATTAACACTCACTTATTGGCGAGAGCAGGTTTTAAATCATTCCCTCTCGCCAGAAGGTATCCCTGGTGAGAGCCACAGCTCACCCGCCCAGAGCTGCAACCAGGGATCATTCCTGGATGAAAGTTACAGGAAAAAAGTGAAAGCCTGCCGTTTGCCCTCCTTCCCAACTATCACCCTGGCAGCCCAGCTGCCACGGTCCCATCTCTCTCTGCCCGTCCCACGGCTTCTATCCCACCCTCCAGCTGTGCTAAGGGATTTTCCCAGCACCTCTGCTCTCCCGTGGGATCTGACCCGAACTGGGGGAAGGGCAGCAGCCCGGGAGAGCGCTTCCAACACATCGTTGCTATTCTGGGAAGGTGAGGATCCTGCCATCTTCCCATTAAGTCATATCCTCCTCAACCCCGTGAGGCAGTTTCCATAGGAATCACCCTCTCTTCCAAGTGATGGAAGTTTTTATTTTTATCTGGCTTATTTACGCACTTCTCTTCCCTCCTTCAGCACTGGCCTGGGCAGTGAGTTTGGGTCATTAACCTCCCCTGGAGCTCATTCCCCAGTCCTTGCTCATCTGTCCCGTCACCCTCACTTCTGCAGCAACCTAAAGGCAGCACCGTGAGCAGAAGGAATAGTATAGGGATTGAGGCAGCATGATGGAACAGATGAAATAAGGAAAACAGATCCCATTTAGGTGCAAGTGATTATAGGAATTAAAAAAAAAAAAAAGACCCTGTGTAAGGAAAAAGAACAAAACAGAAAAACTGATTTCAAAAGTAACACAGTGCTGTTATGGGGTTTTTTCGATCTGAAGCTCATTTGCTGCAGACTCCTGTGTAACTAACAAGCAGCTATCCTGTGTCCACTGGTTTTTTCCAGCCCCCTGGGCCGCAGTAGCCTTAAGCTCCCCGGAGACACGCACGTCCCCGGGAGCAAACCCCACACGTCATAAAAACACAGCCACAGGAACAAGTGAGGCGTGTGTCAGCACAGCATATGGAGCTGGGCTGGGTCTTTCGGGGACATGGCTCTGTGACCATCAGCCAGGGAGTGAGAACTTGCTCACTCACCTCAGGAAGCTCCACAGGAGGTCACACCAGCGTGAGGGAAATGCGTGGGCATCTCTGGGCAGTCTCTGCCCTGCTTTCAGAGACCAGCAGCAATTAAGTTGTTGCACAACTCTTCTCTGGAAGATCTAATGGATAGGAGCGCTGCTGGTGTTCTGTGCCAGAGGGAGGTTGGGTCTTGTCTGCGCAGGGACACATGAACCAACAGGACCAAATGATCTTCCAGGGGTTGGATGCCCAGAAAACCTTTAGAAATGCCAAGATCAGGAGTGTCTCCATCCCATTTCAGGACTTGGGAGCTGGGCAAAACCATCCACTTCCACGGGGATGCTGTTGGTGGACAAGGAGCAGGACTGAAACCTGCTCCCCCTGGCCTTGGAAAGAAACTCTACTGTTACAGGACCAGGAAGCTCTTTCCATTCTCCAGCCCAGCTTCTGGCTCACAGAGCAGGGTGTTTCATGAGGGAGCAGGAGAGTTTGGGGTATAATTCACTGTAGCCACCCTCCTTCTCCTGATGCTCTCCTTTCACTGGAGAGATCCTGAGGTGACCTCCTTTCCCTTGGTGGGGGAGTTTCTGAGGTTCTCCTAGAGAGCACCTGCACAAGTGAAGCAGGGACAGTCCCTTCCCATCATCTCCCAAAGGTCACCAAGTGAAAACAAATGTCTCATCACACCCCATTTCCTTGTGTTGTCTAACCAGACTAAAATTGTGTGTCACCATTAAGTGCAATTATCAAGAAAATTAAGATGGTAGGACTTTTGCTTTTACCTAAGAATGGAGAGCTACTAAACTGTACACAAAGTTTAGTACACAAAGCTCCCTCTCAAAGCCACCCCACACCAGTCTCCACCTATTACCCAAGCCTGATAACACCAGCTTTCACAGAAACGAGGTGTAAAACCCCCACCCTGAAAGCTCAGTGCCCCCCATTTGGGACAGCACTGCTCCCCCCATGCCTATTCCAGCACAGAAAAATCTGGGAGCAAAGACCTTCACACTGGTCTCCCCTCATTTCCCACCCAAGGCAGGCTCCCAAGGTTCAGTCAAATGTCCCAGGCTGCATTTCACAGCACACAAACATCTTTGATTTGCTAGAGATGCAATCCTCAGTTGAAAAGTTCATTAATTAGGAGCAGAGAAGCCTCTAGTGAATCCCTCAGCAAGAAGCAGGGCAAAAAAAAAATTCCCCCACAATTCAGTCTAATTACAACACCTTGGGGCACTCCAGTCACTGTGAAGTTGAGGCCAAACTTTTCTCCCCACCCCTTAGAGCAGGAACTTTAACCCAGTTATAATTTTACTGATAACGAAAGAGAAAAAAAACCCCAAACCTCCCGGTATTTATCATTTGAACTATTCTGCAAGTAACAGCAAGGAGGAGGCATTGAAAAATGCTTCTGGCAAAACAGTAGCTGTGTCCAGCCGGGACAAATCCATTCACAGAACCCCACTCCAGATCTCTGAGCAGGCAACACGGGAGGCCAGTCCTCAGCCCAGCAGTTCCACAAGCATGGTCAGACTGCGCCCAGTTGCTCCTCGGGGATTTAGCAACCGCTTTCCACCCACAGACAGTGACTTTGCACACTAGGTACTTTTCAGAGCAAGACCTTAACTGCCACAGCAGCTCCAGCCCCGTGAAAATGCTGTAGCTGGAGAAGCAGTGGGAGCACTTGGAAAACCCTGGGAAGGACTCCAGGCACCCTGACAGAAGTTCCCTTTCTTTCCCAGCTTCCAGAGGATCTGGACTCCAACCCACCCCAAGCCTCTGGCGAGGCAGGGTGGATCCAGCCGCAGACATGCAAAACCACACCCCGGCTGCTGCCTGCCCTACTCCCCCCACCCCGAGCCAGCAGGGCACAAAGAGGAACTCGGCTCATACAGCTGAAAATATTTAATACGTGTTGTACACGTAGAATTACATTTTATACAAAACATGATACATCACTGAAGGAGAACACTGTACAAAAATCCCTACGGGAGTCCCAAGCCTTTATACAACAAAGACCGGGAATTACCAAGCCTAACAAACAGGCTCAAGGACTTTCCGTCAGAGCGTCTGTAAACTTCGTTTCTTTCAATAAAACACTTTTTAAAAGCACCATGTAATAGTTCTGACCTAAAACCTTTCCAAAATAGATACTTTTATTTAATAAACTTAATACTTTCCAAGCTTAAAATACCACTCGGCGGGGGCGCCTCCCCCCGGGGGCGGCGGCAGCCGAGGAGCCTCCCCCGGGCGCCGCGGAGGGCGGCGGCCCGGCCAGGAAGGGGAATTCCGGGAGGGCAGGGCCGGGGGCGCTCCCAGGGCGGGTGCCGGCAGCCGGGACCCGGGCGGGGAACAGGGAAGTGCTGCCGCCGCTGCCCCATGGTCCTTCCCGTGCGGCGGGGCAGGGCGCCGGAGCCCCGCCGCGCTGGGTGGGTGTCACCTCCGGGCCCCCCGTCCCGCGGCGGAGGGCCAAGTGTCTGCGGCCGGAACATCAGAAGGCCACGATGGCCGTGCTCCAGGGGTTGAGGGTCCGCAGCACCGGCTCATCGCAGCAGATCTGTCCCGTCTCTGCCGCCGCCTCGGCGGGCGCCGTGCCCGCCGCCGCCTCGCCGCCGTCCAGGGATGGCCGCTGCCGGCCCTTGGGCTCCTTGCTGAGCAGTCCCGAGAAGCTGGAGCCGAAGATACTGATGAGGCTGGCCACGTTACCGGTCTCCATGTCCTCTTGCTCGCCTGGCGGTGAGGGCGCCGGTGGTGGTGGCTCCTCTTCCTCGCGGCGGGGCTTCTTCACCGGGGATCCCGCCTGGCCGCGCTCGCCGGCGCTCCGCTTACGGGGGCAGTGCGGTGGCGGGGGCGCCCCGGCGCAGCCCCCGCGATTCTCCTCGCCGCAGCAACAGCGCCGCGGCCGAGGGCCCTGGCAGTCCCTGCCCGCCTCGTCCTGCGGGGGCGGCGGCGGCTCGGCCGCCCAGGCAGCGGTGGGGGGCGCCGGCTCCTCCTCCGGGGGCCCGGCGGCGGCGGGGGGCGGCTCGGGCGGGCAGCCTGGCTCGCTCAGGTAGACCTGCCGGGCGCTGCGCAGCACCAGCGACACCAGGAGATTCTTGTGCAGCTTGAGGCCGCCGCGCTGGCCCCGCGCGCTGTAGATCTTGCCCAGTGAGATGCTGACAATGCGGTGCGCCTCCAGCTTGAACTCCATGGGGAAGACCGGGTGGGATTTTCCGCGCCGGGCCGAGGTCGGGGAGTTGATTCGCGGTGTAACTTAACACGGTCGCTGCCCCTTCGCGCCGCAGACTGAGCAAACCCACGCGCCCGCGCGCCTTTTATACTGCTCCCGCCTCGGCCAATCAGGGCGCGCCGCCGGCCGCTCCAACCGCCGGCTGGCCTCCGCGCGCGCGCACCGGCCAATGGCAACGCGGGGCAGCGCGTTCGAAAGCTCGCCCCGCGGAGAGGGCGCTTAAAGCGGCAACACCGGCGTGCGGCTAGCGGTGGGCCCCACACCAGCGGCGGTCCCTCCCGCTTTCGCTGAACTCCGCACGGGCTCGGTCAAACCGACGGCGGCGGTGGGGGTTTCGGCCACAGCGACTGAAACGCTCCTGGGGAGAGAAAATAAAATGAAAAAAATCAAATCAGACCAAGAGCAACTCCTGTTTTGTCGGGTTAGAAAGATTTCCTGCAATTTCAGCCTGTCTCTGACATCTTGTCGTATTAGAGAATGAGCTGGTGTTGGTGTTGGCTGGAGGGGGAAATGTATCTTTGAGTATTTCAAGGAAAATCTGCCCTGACATGGAGCAGAAAGCCATCCCTGCCCAGCTGCCAGGTGGAATTCTTCTCCAGGGCTCTGGAGAGAAGCTTGCAGAAAGCCCAGTGTAGAAGAGGTTGATCCAAAAGTGGCTTCAAGGGAGGATGGGGGAGGACAACAGGCCATCAGCATCTCCAGGGGTGATGAGGACCATGGCAGACTGGAGCAATTTGTTTGGGAACTGAAACCTCACTTGGTTGTAGCTGTGAGAGCTGGTGGCAGGACCAGCCTGGTGGCTGGGGGACACAGGGAACAACACTAACCCCCAGACACAGCTCCGGGCACCAGAGAAGCCTCCAAGAAAGCTTGGAGGGTGTTTCAGGGCTTGGAGTGGAGACTCTCCTTCTTCCACCAAGGAGTAACCACCACTTGCAAGGAAAGAAGTGAAAGGGCCCAAAATTAAGGAAATTCAATGTGCTGCCCCTGAGTATCAGTTTCTGTTCCCAGTGGCACATGATAACTCACTTTGATCCCTTTTTTCACAAGGGATTAAACCACAGAGTGCCCCAAAAGGAAAGCATGGCCTGTCATACCTGTCATGGCCTGTCATGGTGTTTTACCAGCAGGATCTGCCACCATGTCCTGGTTTACTGGAAGGAAAAGAATAAGGCTGTCACAGTGGTAACAAAAAACAGGTGAAGATTCAGGCACACCAAGACAGAGTTGACATAACAAGAGCCTTCTCCCCCCCCCCAAAAAAAAAAAAACAACACAGAACAATTGCATGTTTTCCTCCTGCTGAAACATACCTTGAGGAAAACCTCAAATGACACTCTCTGGGTGTTGGACACAACAGCAGGTCAACCTGGGGGCTGACATCCCAAAATGCCCACCTCCTCCACCTAACCTGCCACGCTGTCTGAAAAGACTAGACCAGAGCATGCCTAACCACACAGCCAAAACGCTGTCCAAAACAGCTGGTCCCAGTTTTCCTCCTGCCCACACCAGGGCAAGCCTTTCCTGATCACAGGGAGCAGGGCTGTCCCCTCCACACCTGGCGTGGGAGGCCAGAGGGACACGAGTCCCAGTGGTGGGAACCAAGGGATCTCAGACCTGCCAAACCTGCTCCCCACACCTCGGAGGGCTGACAACACCCTGGCCTAAGCCCTCAGGTCAGTCTAACCAGCCAGGGCAAGTCTGGGCTCGGATGTTTGGGACTGCAGTCATGGCTCCTGGCCCACAGCCGGCACGTCTGCTTGCCACCCGTGTCCCCCCACTGACACAATGTTCTGCTGTGCTGCTGGAAAGAGACTTGTACATCATCAGGTGTGTTGCCCTGGGACTGCTGTTTGCAGGATCGGGGCACCTGCATCCTCAAGCAACAGTGATTTGGGTCAGAAGGATAAAGTCAGGTTTGATCCGTCTCAGCCAGGTATATCCCAGCTCAGATGCCGGATGAAGAGCAGCAGTGCAAAGTCATCTCACTTGCTGGAAAAAGCCAAGTGCAGATGGAGGAGACACAGCATGGGAGATTTGTTGGGTGAAGGTACCTGGATCTGAGTGGACTGACCTGTTCTGCTGCTCACCACCTCATCCTGATGGCATGAGGCACCATTTCTCTCCAGTCACTGCACTTTGGCTACCTACTCTGCCTAGGAGAAGGCAGGCCAGCAGCTTCTCCCTGCCCTGGCCAGGGATTAGTAGGATGGGGACGGGTACTGAGTGGTCCCCCATTCCCCTCAGTGCTCAAACAGAGAGCCAGCAGGGAGGAGCAGAGGTGCAGGATGTCAGACAGCAGAACTTGTACCCAGTACCACTGGTTTCACCCACCAGCACCGTGCCTAGTGTCAGGCACAACCCTCAGCACGTAATTCCCTGGGCACCAAAGCCCTACCTTGACATCTTCCCTGCCCCTGCCTGCTCTTCCTGCCCCTGGCAAAGAGATGGAGTTTTCTTTCCCTGGGTGGGGGAACCATGGAAGGGAAAGCGGGGAGAGGACGAGCAGCAGTGTAGGCAGAGGCAGCCCCGGCAGTGAGCACGCGGCCGGTTGAAGCCTGGCGGTATTTTGGTGGCAGCCCTGCCGCCCCCTCCCAGGCTGATGTCATGCTTTAGTAAGTTTGAGGCAGTCATATGGCAGCTTGTGAGGTCAGCGCCTGGGGTGGCTTTGTCTGCCTGCCTGCCCTGAGCTCCTGCCTGCCCTGGGCTCCTGCCTGCACCCGCGGCGGCCCCGCTGGCAGGTGATCCCGCTGGGGTTGCCCTCCGAACAGGGCACCTCTGTGATACCCACGGCTTGGCATCCCCGTGATTCCCACAGCTGGGCACGGCGTTGGAGCCGTCTCCTCGGTGGGACCAGTATCTCGGGCAGTTGGATGTACCTCGTGTCCGTCCATCTGCCCGCAAGAGGGGCATTGCCCCCCATCCCGCCGGGTCGGGGGGTATACGGGAGAAGGAGGCGGAGAGAAGGGTGTGACAGGCGCTTTAATCTCCTCATGTGATCCAAGCGGGCTGGAAAGGGGTTTGACGAACAATTAACAATCCTCCGGCTCAGCTGCTGTTTCCCGAAATAGCTCTGGCAGGAGGAGGAGGAGGGCAGATGGTCTGGCTGGCAGACAAAGGTGGCCTCTCCGCCAGCAAGCTGCGGCCGGCAGAGCCTGCAGAGGAGGCAGCCCCGGAGGCCGAGGAGCGGGGAGCCCACGGCCCCACCTGGAAAGGAAAACAAAGTGAGATAAAAGCAGCTCGAGGGAGGAAGCAGCTTGTGGTACAAATAATAATTGCAGAGGACTGCGCGTACACCACCGGCTGGTTTTGGAGGCGTTTAAAGTCGCCTTCGACGGCGAGCAGAGGCGGTCGGCGCCGGGAAGCTCGTTGGGGGTTCATGTGGTTGCATCTTGGCCGGGAGCAGAGTGGGATGCCAGGTCTGCATCCACAGCCGGCTGCCTGCATCCCCAGCTCTGGCAGCATGGGGGTTCTCCCATCACCCTCTAGCCTCATCCCACGCGGTGGCGGTGTGGCTGGGGACCGTCCTGGCACGGCCATCTGGTGCACAGCACGGCCACCCCGACCTGCGGCCGTGGGATGAGGATGTGGTTAGCAAGATCCTGTTCCTACAGCAGCGCCTGTCCCCCTCCCACCACACACCCCCGCCAGCCCCTCCCTGTCACCAAATGTGCGGGCCAGGCCCCAGCGGGAAGCCATATGCAGTAAAGAGGTGGAAAACCTTCCTGGGAGAATGCATGGTGAAATTAAGGTCTCCTCAAAGCACAGGCTGAACCCATCCATCACTTCCCTTAGCTGTCCCAGCACCACTGCAGTGCATCAGCCCCTCTGTCTTCAATTCGGACCAGGATTTGTGAGTTAGACCCTTCCTGGGAAGAGGTTAGGAAAAAATCAACCAGATGTCCCTCACCAAAAGCAGGGTTGGGGCAAAAGCCTTTGCACCAGTAGCTGCCTGCCTACAGCAAAAACAGAGCTTCAGGACAGCCAAGGAGATCCAGGCTCATCCCCAGCAATTGCTGACGTAAACGAAACAGAACAGGGAGAAACATTTCCAAATGGGAATCCATCCACAGCTTGAGTTCATTTCTGCATGGGAATAAACATCTGAATTGTGAGGGACCCATGCAGTGCTCAGGAGGTGGAGGAGGAGGATTGTTTGTGGTTGGGTTTTTTTCCAGAAATATCAATGATTCGCATGCATGCAGTCTGGACCTGCTGCAATCGGGTGTCAGTAACTAATCCCCCAGGTTCCCAACTGCACTGATTTATCTGTGCTTGGAGAAGATAAGGTCAGAAGAGCTGGGAAACCAAGAGTGCCAACCACTATTGCTGTTGAATGAAAACCAAACACAAGCGAAACAAATACAAATCAATACGGACGTAAACCCAAAGGAGAGGAAGCAGCTCCGTCACCTGCCCTGAAACCACAGTGAGGTGTGAGCCTGCAGCACAGCCTTCCTATCGACAGAGATTACAGTGTTGATACTGCAGGCAGGCAGGACTCTCTCCTATGCATTGTATTTTTTTTCCCAGTAACCTGGGATTCCCCCTTTCCCCCCTACACTAATGATTTAAAATTTCCCTTCCCTTCCCTCACTCTGAGCCACTGGCTTGGGATTTCCCTCCCCTCCTCTGAAGACTTGTGACCCAGAGCCCCTGCCCATTAGATTGCTGCTCTTCCTGCAACCTCTCCAAACACAAAGAGGGGGGGAAAAAAATCCCACTCCCAGCTATCAGCTTCTTCAGGCAGCCATTTCCCTTGGAAAAATGTGGCCTGACATCTTTCAGTGGCTTATGGAACTGGTTTGGGTTTCCTGAGGGAAAAAATGCATTTATTTGTCTGGGGTTTCCTATCAGACAACCCTTCTATTGTAGTCCACCTTCCTGTATGTTTTTTTCCCTCTCTGATAGGCCTGCAATGGGTCCTGTCTCACTTCCAAAGGTTGCCTTGTGTCCAGGGGGAAAAGAAGCAGGACAGCTCTGTGATGCAGCCCAGCAGACGATCCCGTGGTTTCCCAACATAGCCAGTGTTTTTCACTGGA